CGGCGTGTTGGAGGGCGACGGCGTGTTCGATGGCGACGGCGTGTTGGACGGCGATGGCGTGGGAGAATTCGTGGACGAAGGCGACGGCGTGTTGGACGGCGACGGCGTCTGGGAGGGAGATGGCGTGTTCGATGGTGACGGCGTGTTGGAAGGCGAGGGCGTGTTGGACGGCGACGGCGTGTTAGACGGCGACGGCGTGTTGGAAGGCGATGGCGTGGGCGAATTAGTGGACGAAGGCGATGGCGTGTTGGACGGCGAGGGCGTATTGGAGGGCGACGGCGTGTTGGACGGCGACGGCGTGTTGGACGGTGATGGCGAGTTAGTTGGCGACGGCGAGGGCGACGGCGTACTGCTCGGCGACTGTGTTGAGGAGGGCGACGGCGTGCTGGACGGCGATGGCGTGTTCGATGGCGACGGCGTGTTGGACGGCGACGGCGTGGGCGAGTTGGAAGGCGACGGAGTGTTGGACGGCGACGGCGTGCTCGATGGCGACGGCGTGTTGGAAGGCGACGACGTGCTGGACGGCGAGGCCGACGAGGAGGGCGACGACGTGGGCGACGGCGACGGGAGGACTCGCCGCCGAACACGACGTTGTCGATCCGCGACTGGCCGGTGCTGGTGATGGCGCCGTCGAAGACCAGCCGCACCTGCGCGTTGGCCACGTTGTCGAGCTCGCTGCGGCCCCTGAGATCGACGGTGACCCCTTCGTAGGAGTTCGGCGTCGCCGCGGTGTGGGTGAAGCGGGTGACGTAGTTGGTGCCGTCCGTCGAGGTCTGCACGTCGAACGTGGTGAAGCCGTTGGTCCTCGCCCTGAATTCGAGGCTGAGCACGAGGCGCTGGAAGCCCCTCGAGTCAAGGTGAAGGACAGATAGCGCCCGTTGTTGGCCTTACCGCTGAACTCGCACACAAAGTCACTGGCGCGCCCGGTGTAGATGATCTTGGTCGGGTCGGCCCAGTTGGAGTTCATGTTGCCCGAGCCCACCGTGGCGGCGAGCGGGAGGGGTATGGGGGCGGCGTTGACAGCCGCGCCCTCCGCATAGGTCCATCGGGCAATGCTGACCACCGGCGACGGCGACGCGCTGGGCGTGGACGACCGCGAGGGGGTGACCGATGGCGACGGCGTGTTGGACGGCGACGGCGTGTTAGAGGGCGACGGCGTGTTGGATGGCGACGGCGTGGGGAAGGCGATGGCGTGCTCGATGGCGACGGCGTGTTGGACGGCGACGGCGTGTTGGACGGTGACGGCGTGTTGGACGGCGACGGTGTGTTGGACGGCGACGACGTGCTCGATGGCGACGGAGTGTTGGACGGCGACGGCGTGCTGGACGGCGAGACCGACGAGGAGGGCGACGACGTGGGCGACGGCGACGGGAGGGACTCGCCACCGAACCCGACGTTGTCGATCCGCGACTGGCCGGTGCTGGTGGTGGCGCCATTGAAGACCAGCCGCACCTGCGCGTTGGCCACGTTGTCGAGCTCGCTGCGGCCCCTGAGATCGACGGTGACCCCTTCGTAGGAGTTCGGCGTCGCCGCGGTGTAGGTGAAGCGGGAGGCGAAGTTGGTGCCGTCCGTCGAGGTCTGCACGTCGAACGTGGTGAAGCCGTTGGTCCTCGCCCTGAATTCGAGGCTGAGCACGAGGCGCTGGAAGCCCCTCGAGTCAAAGGTGAAGGACAGATAGCGCCCGTTGCTTTCTTTACCGCTGAATTCGCACGCAAAGTCACTGGCGCGCCCGGTGTAGATGATCTTGGTCGGGTCGGCCCAGTTGGTGTTCATGTTGCCCGAGCCCACCGTGGCGGCGAGCGGGAGGGGTATGGGGGCGGCGTTGGCCGCCGTGCCCTCCGCGTAGGTCCATCGGGCAATGCTGACCACCGGCGACGGCGACGCGCTGGGCGTGGACGACCGCGAGGGGGTGACCGACGGCGTGTTCGATGGCGACTGCGTGGTGGAAGGCGATGGCGTGTTGGACGGCGACGTCGTGGCCGAGTTGGTCGGCGACGGCGTGTTGGAAGGCGACGGCGTGTTGGACGGCGATGGCGTGTTGGACGGCGACGGTGTGCTGGACGGCGATGGCGTGTTGGACGGCGATGGCGTGTTGGACGGCGATGGCGTGTTGGACGGCGATGGGGTGGGCGAATTCGTGGACGAGGGCGACGGCGTATTGGAGGGCGATGGTGTGTTGGACGGCGACGGCGTGGTGGACGGCGACGGCGTGTTGGACGGCGACGGCGTGTTGGAGGCGACGGCGTGTTGGACGGCGACGGCGTGTTGGAGGGCGATGGCGTGTTGGACGGCGACGGCGTGTTGGACGGCGATGAGGTGGGCGAATTCGTGGACGAGGGCGACGGCGTATTGGACGGCGAGGGCGTATTGGAGGGCGACGGCGTGTTGGACGGCGACGGCGTGTTGGACGGCGACGGCGTGTTGGACGGCGACGGCGTGTTGACGGCGACGGCGTGTTGGACGGCGACGGCGTGTTGGAGGGCGACGGCGTGTTGGACGGCGACGGCGTTGGCGAATTCGTGGACGAAGGCGACGGCGTCTCGGAGGGCGATGGCGTGTTCGATGGTGACGGCGTGGTGGACGGCG